CTGTCAAGTCTCTCCTTAAACATTTTAAAATTACAGACACCTTGTCGTTCAGACAGTGGGGTAAATATGCATGAAATAACAACATGTGTGAGGAATTTGCTTCACAGCCAACATATGATGCCTGCTTTACAATACATCCAAGAAACACCATTTTCAGCTCATTCCAATGAGTCTGACTAGAAACATTTAAAAAATAAATAAATCCATGTGATGGCAAGAGCTACACATATGCAGAATGTCTCTTCTCAGAAAACAAACAGGTTTATCATTCCTCTCTGAAGTTCCCAGGGCAACACCTGGGATTTTTTCAAATCCCGTGTGTACCAAGCAAAGCCAACTTAGTGGTGGAATTGTTAGTATTAGGTTAACAGATGGACTCAATGATCTTAACAGTCTTCTCCAACCTAAATGATTCTATGGTTCTATGGTGTGTCAGCACCCATTCCCACCTGGGGAGTGATGGAGTTCAGATGGAGAACCAACACCCTCACAGCTGTTCCCATGGAGCTCCTATTCACTCAAGGGTGAGCAGTGGGCATCCTGGCACAAGACAACCCTACACACAGGAAATGCTGGATCTTACTCATTATTCCCTGCTCAGTTGGTATCAGCCTATTTATTTTGCTAATGGAGCCATTTATAGAAGGCTGAGACAAACAGTTCTAACTCAATTGTCAAAAACCCCCATACCACTGATATTTATAAAGTGCTTCTTGTGTTCGGTCTAAACACTATTTGTTTCTTCAGGAAACACAAATCTCTGAAAGAGAAGACAAGAATAATTTCCATAATTACCAGCATGTGTAATTCTTCACCTTTTGGAAAGGATATGTTTTTAATGCATTATTGTTGTTTCATCTTGATGCCTTAATATTCCTAGAATCTTGAGTACAACATTTTTCCTTTTAAATGCTCATGTTCCTTCCCATTTGTCTAATATTGATTTGCCTCCTGCCAGTTGTGCAGAACTCTAATTTTACCTGCTTTAGTTGGATCCCTTGTTTTCAACAAACTTCACAAGTGCTACCAAGAGAGCTCATAAAACAAAAGACACAAGTTAACCAAATAGCACAGAGCATGGAGAACCATTATCTGTGTAGATATCCTGCAAACACAGTGACTTTATGTTTACTTTTACCAACAGCTGGCATCACAGTTAACAGTCTTACTTATCTTTATTTTTAATGTAGTTATTTAGAATCCTGAAAGACAATGAGAAAGAGATCATTTGAGACCTTTTCTACTCAGGAGTAAGAACACATTAAAGTGACTTGATTCAGTTACAGCAATTTAAACTGTTCTTTCAGTTTTCTGTAATTTGGAAAAAAATACCACAAAACTCTGATTTGCTTTAAAATTTTAGATTTTATCACCAAATGGTTGTGAGACAGCAAATATGCTGGTACAGCCTGAATGATTAACAAAGATGCCAGTTCCAGTTAAGAAGGTGGGAGACTGTACACTTCTCATCTTTTTCCAGGGTGAAAAAAACCCCAACCAAACCATAAAGAGACTGTAAATATTTAATAAGAATAATGCTCCAGAAAGCACTGAAGGATTTAAAATGTAAAGCACACAGCCTAGAGCACATCAGCTTTTATTAAGGAATCACAGATGATTTTTGAGTTGGTAAGGGCAGAAGGGCATAGGGACTCTGGCCCTTCTCTCATGGGAAGTCATCAGAAAGCCAAATGGCTTGCGTCAGCCAATACGATCAGCACTGGAGTCTTCCAAAATGATATTTTTTAATTCTGCTCACCTTTAACCACACTGCACAGAACCTTAATTTGCCTTGATATCTCAGGCCCATTGAAAAAGAAACAAATCAAGGAGCAAGGAAAAGGTCTTCCACAAGCAAGACACTACTCAAGAAAACAGAAGCAACTGGGTATACCTTCCCTTTATGCCTAAACTGCCTCCTGAAATGGGATGTAGGTTCAGCTGTGAAACAGAATAAGACTACACTGGGAAAGCAGTACAAAGTAACTCCAAGTTGTCAGGTTTAATTAATAGGTACTTAAAAAGGTCTGATGCAAACAAAGCATTAAGGTCCATTGATTATAAAAGGTGTAATTATCAATCTGATGAAGACATTAATTTAAGTAGGGGAACATGCAAGTCACATAACTCAAAACTGATGTCTTAATTAAGCAAATAAGCTACTCAGTGCAAGGCACACTGAATGTTTAAAGAGGTACGTGGCCAGAGCTGATACAGCTTCTTCATTTTTCAATAGAGCTACAGAAAATTTGCAAAGAAACAACCTCAATCCTTATCACACATATCTGACAAGGTTTCTAAGCCACCTGTGAGACCCATCAGTACCACAGGTTTAGCACTCTGGCCTTTGACTGCCTATGTCATTTTTAAAATAGGAGAAAGGCTCCTCAGTCACTTAAACCTTTAAAAAATGTTTAAGAATTTTCACTGCCTCCAGTTTTCTCTTTCTTCCCTTATTACTGTTCAAATTGAACATTTATCATCAGCTCAGTTTTAAAATGCTGCCTCTCTTCCTTGCAAACAATCTGAGGGCACGGTGATACAACATCCAGATTGTTTTTTCCAACAATTGCTCAAAAGAAGCAATTAAATAGCTAGCTACATGCAAGTTCACAAGCTAAAAGCTATGCTGAGCAGTCAAAAGACAATACTCCGGAATAATTCACCATCTGCGTACTACTTGGTACCAACATTGCACAATGTTAGCACAGGTTAGCTACAGCACTGTCCACTCTGACCAGCTTTTCTGGCTCTAGGCTGTCCAATTAGACAGGTCTTGTGCTAGAGAAGTACAAATGTTTCCATGATGTATCACAATCCATCCAACACCAGCTTGATTACTGATCCTGTCTGACTGCCGACAACACTGGATTCAGTGCAAGGCACAACTGCCTGTGAGCAATTTCTTATGCTGCCCTGAAATCATGGTCAGGCATTTAAAAGGATTTCTCCCAGAATCAAACACAACAAAGAGAAAGACGAGGCGCATCCGAAGACCATCCTGTTCAGCAAAGAAATGCAGCTCTTCTTGTCTATTTTATCAACATGGAGCTGCTAAAGGAAAATAAAAAAATGAGCCCCAAAATTTTAGGGCTTCAAAAGCCACATAAACAAAGCAGGGCTTTACTCCCTTAATGGGGCCACTGCCGACAGATGCAGGCACTATGAGAATTATTCATACACAGGGCTGTATGACATCTAACAGATGAGCTGAAACTTTCCTTTGCGTGCTCTTTTAAAACCATTCTGTAATTAAGCCCAAAGAGATGACAGACGTTTATTGACAGTTAATGCAGTGCTCCCACAATGTATTATTAGGCGCAAGACCAGGGGCACAAGGCCAAGTGCTGTTAATCTCCTAGTGAGTGCAGCCTGAAAATATCTGGTAATATTGCTAATATTTTTTAAAAGGCAAAAGTCTTGAGTTTTCACAGAAACAGACACACCAAGCAACCCACCAAAATAAGTGCCATGGGGAAAAAAGAAGAAAGTTTACATAGTTTTTAGTCCGTTTTTTCCACATGAGGAGTGATGTATGAAAAAGGACTGCCCTCCTTTGCCTTACCTCATGTTTTACTTTAGCAGTGTCAAATCCGATCTTTCCTGCTTGGCTAGAAACGTTTCCAAAACAAGTGGGAACATCTATTAGCTTTTAGTTAAAGTAAGGAAAGTGATGGGTCGTAGGTTTCCCTCCAAATGCTCTGCTTGTTTGTTTTAAGGAAGCCTTAAGAAGAGCAAATAAAAGAAGCTTGAAGTCCTCTGAGCAAAGCTGACTTCTTCCTCTCAAGGTCATCTTCAAGTCATTTAAGAACCATGGAAATAGCCGGGGGAGTGGAGGGGGAGGAAATAAGCAGACTCAAAAGGACACCTTTCCTTCTCAAGTAGCTTTGGTGCTGGAGGCTGAACTAAAAACGAGCACGCAGGTGGAGGTTTGCCACTGTTACAGACCCAAGCCAATCTTCCCCCCGGGGGAAAGAAAGATGCGCTAAGAAGTTCTTGCAAAAGTAACTCCAGCAGAAGCACTGCACAAAAAAGGAGAGCTCGCAACTCAGACTCCACTGGAAGTGGCTCATCAAGGGTCCTACAGACAAGAACCTTCTTCCTTGGATACATCTTAACCCCTGTTTCCAGGGCCAGTGCTGAAGCTAGTATGTTAAAAACCGAATGGTGTTGGTTCTGATTAGAGACAGACCCTTGATATTCCTTCACAATTTATGGCCTGATCTTACTCAGAATATGCATTCAAATTTTTAGTAACATATTTAGCAAACATTAACTATGACTGGCATGCATATTCAGAACATATTTTGCTTAGGATTTAAACCGAAATTCATAATCATGTTAGCTACACGTATTATTTCACAGATGTTGCAACCTGACACAAGACTTAATTTTGTGTAAACCTCGCGAAAGACCCGGGAGCCCAGGGGGAGCTCTGCCTAAGCGAAAAACTACAGGATTTGGGGCTCCTGTGCAGTTAACGTGCCCGGGCGCACCATCGCCATTTCACTGACAGCTCAACGCACCCTGCTTCTGTGACTAAAACGAAACGCCACCCCAAAAACTCAAGCCAGCAAGCAAACAGAAAAGTATTCTCAGGCAGTTCAGGCATAAGCAGACGCTGTGCCCTGTCACAGCCCCGAGCGCTACCGACCCCCCCGCTACCGCAGCCAGACCCGTTACCTTCTGCCGCCGTTCACGGGGCCACCGCGCCAGCCAGGGCTGATGCCCACCCGCGGGCTGCGCCGCTAGGGCCGGGGACAGACGGGGAGGGGGTTCCTGCCGAGCCCCTGCGGGAGGGACCGGGAGGGACGGGGCGGGGCGGCCGCGGCTCGTCGGGGAGCTCTCTGCGCCCCTCGCTCCGCGCGCGGCTCGGGGACCCGGCAAGTTCGCGGCCGTGGCTGCCTGAGAACAGCAAAGTTGGGGCCGCACAGAACCGGGAGGGCGACACAGCCCCTCGCCACAGGGTGACCCCGACCCGCCCCGCGGCCCCCTCTCACCTCAGGCACTGCCTCCTCCCCGCCGGGACCGCGGAAGGCGCCGGCTGCTCTCCGCTCCATCGCTGCGCGGAGCCCCGCTCGCAGCTCCCCAACTCCACCGGGATCGCCGCAGATCGCCGCGGCCCCGCCGCCGCCGCAGCAGCACCCAGTGCCGACCGCGGAGCGCCGCCTGCCGCCGGGGGCACCCCCCCATCCCCGGGGCGAGCTCCCGCCCCGCCGCTGTCGGGCGGGGGAGCGGCAGGGGCAGCGCTGGCCCCCATCGGCCCCGTGGGCCGTCATCCTCGCCGGGGTGCGCCCCGCCGCAAAGCGGCCAGGAGGTAGCAGCGTTAATACGGTTATCAAGCTATTTAATCTCATCCCCTCCTCAGGGCAACGCTCACGCTAGCGGCCCGGCGCCAGTAAGCTCCCGGTCGCAAGCAGCTAGCGTTGAGTTGCACAAAAACTAAACCCGAGCCTTAATTTAAACGCACTTTCAAACAGCGAATGCGCTCTCCCTGTCGGCGGACTTGTCCCAGTCGGGCTGCTGGTGTCAGGTAAGTTTACTTCTTCGCCCTGCTTTTGCAGGCTCGGTACAGCAGACGCAGCCTGACTCCGGCAGGTGAGTGCTGTCAGCGAGCCCCCAGTGCGTGTGGAACCGGGCAGAGCTGTTTTACCGACTTCATGCCTGACTCCAGTGCAGCTGCTGCCTGACCGCGTCTCGGGAGCCCGACGGGGAGTCGCGCTGAGAAGGATCGCCCAGCAGCCCCGACCGCTTTAGAGAGATGGGGATTGTGCACGGACCCTGGTCCAGGCGCTAGTGGGGTTTGCGTGTGCAGGGGCACACACGCACCGCCAGGACCCCTCGGGAGCGAAAGTGGGGAGCGACGTTCACAGACGTTCATGCACAGCCCTTTCCCTGTCTGATGTCTCCCGTCTGCGAGCAGGCGCTTGGGAAAATGTAAAAGTCTTTTGATACGAGCGTGTGTTCAGGGTCTGCCCGCATGTACAGCGCCGCAGGACGCCGCTGCACAGTGCAAACAGGAAACATCACGGTTCTAACTTTCGTGGGTTTAATAATGGTGATGGTTTTGTACACATCACCACCACCACTACCCTCGGTACCACACCAAGTTGCAACTTATTTACAAGGGCTGAAATACTTTTCCTGAGGTGCCTCCTGTATCTCTTGCCAGTTTCTCCAAAATGTCTCTGTGGCTAGTTTGGGTCCAGGTTTTTGTCAGTCTTTACATCTTCTAATTTATTTACTGTGTTTTCTGGCATTCGTGCCAGTTAACATCATTCCCCACACACCCCCCTTTTGGGGAAACTTCTGGCTGGTTCTGGCATCTGTCTTGATTGTTGCTTCTTAGATTATATATGTATTAATTAGTGTCTTTTCTCAGTTGGTGGATCAGCTGCAAGAATACGTCACATCAAATCTGATAAAAGCTGCCAGTCCCAGACAGCCCATTGTCTCTGCAAGGAGCCAGCTCTGCATGTCTCAGAGAAAGCAGCGTATAGTTTTGTTGTTACTATCTGTAGATGTTAGAAACTCTTTGTGCGTACATACACTTTTACTATTATTGCTTACATTCACTACAGCATCTATTAATTGCTCTTGGGCTATTTGATTTTCAAGGTAACATTGAAGAAGTAATTGTTAATTTAAATATGTCACCTTTTAATTTTGTACAGTTCTTGCACTATGAAAAGACAAACAGGACCACACATTCAACCTTGCTTATGTCCTTCTCAGCTCCATCTTGGCTCTGCTGCTTGCATGCTCTCCAAGCATGATTCATACTCCCCTCAACTCTCCCACTAAAGTCTTGAAGTGAGACAGTCATCGCAGTATCTGAGCTTGTTTTTAGCAATACTAAAGAACTGTTTGAAACCATTTGCCTTTCTCATATGGCAATATTTTAAATTGTTTGCTGCTTGACAGCCTGGGATGTGTTTCCATTGGCATGAGATTTTCATGCATTTTCTTTTCTGTGCCTATTCTGTTTATCCATTTAGCTTCACTTGTGTATGGCTTGCACTTCGTCAAAATGTTTTGACTTAAAATACGCCAAGGTATTCATTTGTTTTACCTTTTATTTCATAAACCAGTAATTTGACAAGCCTGTGGACATTAAGAGTCCAGTTCTGTGCACAACCTGATGTGGTACTGTTATCTTCAGAGGTTACCTTTCAGCTTGCCCTGGATCAAACCCTGCTTGTATGTGGTTGTTTGCATGTCCCCAGAAGTGAAGAGTGAGCATGATTGTACAGGTGTAATTCCACTTTCAAATATGTCCAAAGTATTAAATAATATTTTTCCCTCGAAATTCCACCAAGTTGCAAATTCTTTACTAGATGCAATAATTGTCATGATAGTGAAGAGTGATAGTGAAGAGCAACAGCAGAATGCCATTTATGGTGTCCATGGCACTTACCCTCAAAATAATGCAATTCTGTGTTTTCAAACAGATGGAAAAAAGGTTGCATGAAGCAGTTAACTGGTTTGGATGTGATCGTGTATATACGGTCTTGGCAGAAAGCTGGGTTTCTGGCTCCAGCCTTCATCACACAGTGATGTTGCTTTTGTCCTGCTTTGTGCTCATTTTTCTTGTAGGACATCTTGTGTGTGCCATTTCCTGCCTCACATAACACCCACAGCTGCAGCAGTGAGGCTATAGGCTCCTTTCCAAAAGGAAAAGGTGGGCCACAGAAGGTAAAATGGCAGCTTTGTTTCATGCCCATGCCCGTAGAAGAGTGGGATATCTACTATTCCTTCTCACTCTTGTTCGAGGCTTGCTTGGACTAAGTGCAATTGAGTTTGATTTACAGTCAAGCCTTCCTACTGCAATTAAGACATTTATATGGTTTTCTGCAAGGAGCTTTGCTTATAGGGGAGTGTGGGTATAGTTTCATCAATCATTTAGTTTAAAAAGTCTAGTTTCTAGTTGGACCAGGTCCAACTCCAAATGAAATCAGCACTTGAAGTCCCAATTATGTCAAAGGGAGTACAATTAAATGCTTTGCAGGTGTGTTTCCCCATTTGTTCCTGGTCCATCCCACCAGTGCTGCAATTGCTTCTGTTCCACAGATGGCAACTGCAATGGCAGTGACTGAGCAAACACAGAAGCTGGGGCACTTCAGTTTAAGTTTTTCGTTGAGTTTAAAATTTCTGAAATCTATTTATTTTTTTAAGAAGTAAACTTAAAAGCACTTTAAATGCAATGCTTAAAGGCTTTTTATCTGAAACCTGAGAAACGCTGGACTGTTATCCCAGAGCTGTGAAGATGAAAAGGTTACCTTTTCCTCTAGTCTAACAACAAGATGACTCTTAGCATTTTTTTTGTTGGTTTCTTTGGATTATTTTATCATCTCAGTTGTTATTACTGCTGTGATGATTTTGGTTTACGATTTGTATCATCTAATCCAGAAATTACTACACTGGTGACCAAAGAAACAGGGCATGATTCTGGGCAGTAAGTACCTATGTTAAAGCTGTAATTTTGTAGTTTCACCTTGGTGTCTCAGTCAGCCAGGCTGTTTTAGCTGTAAACTGGTGTAAAAAGTTGTCTTTGTGTGTCTGGAAGGGACCAATTGGTAAACTGGAAGCCTTTGCAGAGGACATGCCTAGAAACGGTGGCATCAGGCAGAATCTGAGGTGTATGTGTTATTCCAATGTAAAAAAGAGGAATCACAAAAAGCGAGGGAAGTTGATGGACTCCATCAATTTTGGACAGCTGGGGTGTGTGTAGACTGTGGAGGTAGGTATAGAAACTTGGGAACAAAAGGAAGCCCCTAGAAGCTTGACTCCCACTCCTCAGCTCTCACAGCAGACAGAAATCCCAGAGGTAGGTAAGTGAATGTCTCTGTGAAGACTGTGTTGAAAACTTATCATTGTAATATTTTTGATCAATTGTCACAAAGTATTGCTGAGTGTGCTTTTGAAGGGGGAAAGAAGCAGATAGCAAAATTTTGGTACCTGTCATGGAGGTAATTATTTTTGTAGCTGTAGGGAGTGAAAAGGATGAGGGAAAACCAAGTAGGTGAAATGAAGCATCGCTCACTTCAGGGAAGAGTGATTTTTTTATTTCTTTTTTTTTTTTTTGTAACAGGAAAATAATTAAGCTCTGAACTCTATTTGTGTGACTGCAATTCATTCCACTCAGGACAGCTGATGCGAACAAAGTTCTCAGAGATGAGAAATGGTCCTGCAGATAGCAATGCAGTGGGGAAGAATAATATAGTTGTATCAGTGACAGCAGTGGAGAAAATACAGTAGGTTTCCCTTCAAGTTCTTTGTGAGGAAAATGGTCATTTGCAAAATATTAATGATCTGTTGTAACAGTGGTCATGTATATATATGATGTAAATATAACATTTTCTTTGTTTTTATCTTCTGTTTTATGAGAAGGAAAGTTTAGGGTTTTCTGCAAACTATGGAGATGAATTATGTACCTGTTGCAAGTAGGATGTACTTTTTATATTAAAGCAAATTTTTCTTCTTTTTTTTTTTTTTTTCTGGAAAATGACCCAGGTTGGAAAATCACAAAAGTTAAATGAACAAAGGATATTAAGAACATCACAGAAGACATCATAGAGCTACTGTGGTGATGGCTTATAAACACTCCATATCCTTTTTTGTGTGGAAATAATACTGCTGTGAGTTACAGCTCTTTTACTAGATGACAGGTTATGTTGCTGCAGCTTTGCTGAGAGTCAGAGCAATGAATTTGGATCTCTATAATCTGTTGTATCCAGTTGCAGGAGCACAGTCGTAACCAACAGCATACAGGCCACCTTCCAATTAAAGCTAAACTCAATTTTAAGGTAGTGTATGCAAATCTACCCTGAAAAACAAACCTCATTAAGATTGTTATGTACAAAGGCGTATATTTTCTTCTCGTTTTGTTTGTCTCCAGTGTCATTGGGGTGCTCTGTCAAGCAAGAAACTGTTAGCCACTTGGCTCTTTGATTTGAAAATGAGACCCAGGTATACACATTAACAGCATTTATCGAAACAGGAATCTTATGAGAACAACATATATAGTTAGATCACAACTACCTTTTTCAAAGCAGATGCAGACCTACATATTAAACTGTCCCTGATCTGACCAAGATGCCAAACTCAGGTTG